AAAAAAAAATTAATACAGACAGATGCATATCAGGGCGGGTCAACTCTTTTACAATGCGCGTATAACATTGGAGGACGGTTCTGCCTGTAATTCTAACCAAATTTGCCGAAGAAACCATGGGTCTAAAATCAATTGGGAGTTCACCAAATTACGAAAATAGGGTTCGAAGAAAATGTAAAAATATTCACTGTTGCAACCTCTGGTGGAAGTTTAAAAAAACCAAGTAATTTTTAGCAAAAAAAAAACCGACTTCAACTCTCATATAAAAAAAAAATATATATATATATCTCATGATCCGCTAATCGGATCTTAACCAGATTAGTATGGGACCACCTCTGAGACACTACCTTTCCGATGCAAAAAGAATTATCGAAATCGGTTGACGTGGTCCAAAGTTATGCGGTAACATACATAAAAAAAAAAAAAATATTCCGACGAACTGATAACCTCCTCCTTTTTTGGAAGTCGGTTAAAAATAAGTGCAAAAACAGATTCGTCATATCAAAACACCCCTTGTGCCATTGTACAACATTTAGCACTAAGAAAACTATTTTCGCAATTTGCCAAACTCCAAATTGATTTTAGACCAATGGTTTCTCGCCAAATTTGCTTAGAATTACACGTAGAGTCCTGTAGTATACGCATATCCTCGGAAAAATCTTCTATACAAATTGACGCGCCCTAATGCATATACATATATATACACATTCATGCACATGTACCTACTGTCAGTGTGTTCAACATGTCAATGATCAGTTGAATTTCTATTCTAGTTCGAAAAAAACTGCATATAATGAGCAGCGGATTTGGGTGAAACCAAAATACAATATTTAAGGAATCAAATTAGAAAAATTTACAAAGTTCATTGATACTTCAAATACATAAATGCATGTACTTTCGAATAATACGTACATACATATGTTCGTACACACAAAGTAATCAACAGGGCAGAATTGAATGCGCCTGCGTTTTGTGAAGAAAAAAAGTGCTCGGAGATGCCTCAAATGTACGCTAATAGTACAAAAACGCGTTGTAGAGTAATTGTTTTAATTATAAAAAAAAAATACTAATAAAAGTGAGCTGTAAGCTTCCTATACATATACACATTTGTTTGTGCAACCACATTTGTCATACAAAATGGCTTTGCTTGGCTTGATTTGTCTGCTGCTAGTTGTGGATGTGAGAGGTGCAGCAACTAGTGGCGGTGTTGCATATGTAACCGCACCAACAACCGCTGGGCCGGAAGTACGCTCAAGGACTTTTAATGAAAAACGTAAGTAACATAATTAGTATTATTTTATCCTAGAATAGTTGGAATACATATGTGCATATATCGTCGTTTAAAGTATAAAACCGCGTATCGTCATTCTGCGAAACCGCGTAATTGACATTTGCAGCCAAAAATTGGATTTGCTCACAGAAGTTCTTGGCTCAAGCCTTATCCATTCGTCCTGAAGCCAGAAATGCGCTAGCTTTATAAAAAAGAGAATCATTTTGAAACATGAGTGTTTTTACCCTCTAGAAAATAATGTATGCATCCTCACATAGGCGGTTTTGCATTATCTTGATACGCGGTTTTGCATTTTTTGATACGCTGTTTTGTACTTTAAACGACCATACGCGGTTTTGCATTATCCTGATACGCGGTTTTGCATTTTGTTGATACGAGGTTTTGTACTTTAAACGACGATATGTATGTACATATATTGGTTATGAAACAAACTAGATATGTAACGTAAGTTTCACTTCTCCAGTGTGGCCCAGGCGCATTTACTTTTTTATAATAACTCAACTGCAGCGCCACCTAGCGGGTCAAACTTTAAATCTAAACTATATAGAGACCCACCCAGGCACACACAAAAAATTTCGTTTAGATCGGTTCACTCATAAACACACGTACAGAAGAATTATATATGTATAAGATAGGTAATAGTTTTAGTGCAATGGGGTATAGTCGTTGCGCTGGGTATGCAGTTACAGTTGCATGGCTATACTCAATCCCGACTCTTGCGTCCTCGTTCGCGCACTCTGGGCAACGTGAGCAACCCATGTGCGAGATGCGAAAACCAATCCGAGTGGAGCCTTGGATCACGGCAGAAAGAGAAGTAGCTTCGGTGGGGCCACTCCGACTTATTCGGTTTAAGGGCTCACTGAAGTCTGCAGCGTCTGTTCACAAGTAGGTGCGGCTGCAAGCGGGTATCTGCTTGGATCAAGCGGCTCGCTATATAAACGTGTATTTGGTTGCGAAACCACCCCCGTCCCCACAATGGGTTGTGCGCTGGGCTTGGGACCCGCCACGTAAAAACCACTTCCAGTGAAGAAGCAAGGCAAAGCACTGCTTTGCTGAACTCGGCCCAAATCGCTTAGGCGGTTACAGCGCCAAAAAAAAAAGAAGAAGAGAATAGTTTTAGTACATTTTGGAAGGCGCCGCGCCCCTTTTAAAATAGCCCTAATTTTCTGTCTGAGTATAGGAGACAAGTACTCAAGTTCCAGTACTCTACCACGAATACTTCCACAGATATGCAGTATGAAAAATTCGGTTTGTATTGGAGGTATGTATAAAATATACTTTTCGACTTATTCTCATACCTACCAATTACATATATAAAAAAAAAAATCATAATAATCGGTCAAGCGGTTTCGGAGGAGTTCGACCACAAACACCGTGACACGAGATTTTTTATATATCAGAAGAGATAGAAGATATATAGAAGTTGATGTAAAATTTTCTGTTGTTCATGAAAGGTATGAAGCCTTCGGCATAGCCGCAGACAGCACTGCCCTTACATGTTTTATTTGTTTTTTTTTTGCTTTATTTGTGTCATTCGAGTAGTTAAAATGGCAAACAACTTCTCGTTTTGAATTGAATATGCACGCGGGTTCAATTGCAACCGAGCGGTAGCGAAAACCACAGCTACATACAAGTACATACATACATACATATGTGAGCATTTACATATGAACTGCCGGTGTGTGTGTGTGTGCAGCTGCATGCAACGCTTCGTGCGTTCTGTTCGATGCATCGAGGCGGCCGGCAGTAGCCGGTCAGACTATCAAGCAGGTTGGCGTCCGCCCAAATGTTGAGCTGCGATTGCTGGCATTTTCATGATTTTATGATTGGGCGATGGGCGGTTTTGCAAAAACATCGACGATATGTAAAAACATTTTGTCAGAATTGAGCACAGCGTTTGCAGCAGTAATGGAAATTGGAGCAAGTACATACATATGTATGTACGTATATGCCCCAGACGTATGCTCTGTGCGCCTTTGTTTGTTTCGTTTTCAATTAAAGAGCAATTAATTCATCTTGTAAAATGAACGCCTTGGAAATTCTGGTGAAATTTTATATTGAAGAAGAATTTTGCTTTGTTTTGCACGACTGGTTTATTCTTAAAATCAATGATTTCCCTAAAATAAGGTAACCATATTTTAATACTTTTTAGCGTCTTTTGTGGACCTATAAAATATAAGGTGCATTCTTTTGCAACCGAGCTATAAAGGAACACTCGCTTAAATGATGAAATATGTATATGCAAAGCAACAACACAAACTGGGCTATTTACTCTATTACTATAGTGTTGGTAAGTGAAAAAACTGCTCTATTGTGGATTGTTAATGGGAAAGGGGAGAGGGAAATTTTTGTTTCCGTATACACATGATTTATATTTTAAATAAGTATATACCATACCCAAATACCTCGGCATAATGACTCATTTCTATTGTTTTTTTGTTTGTGTCTAAATCCCGTTAAACTAATCACACGCTTCTTGCCGAATACCAACAGGGTTGCTTAAGTACCTAAAAGGAAATTTTACCCGAGTTGAGCGTTCTTTTGTCGCTCGTTTACAAAAAAATCCGGCTACAAGCTGCATTTTTTGTAAGGAATTTGAGTAATATACACATATACTTATTTAAAATATAAATCATGTATGTATATATGAAACAAAAATTTCCCTCTCCACATTCCCATTAACAATTCACAATAGAGCAGTTTTTTTCATTGAATAACACTTTTCTTCAGGTCGCGTATGTTTTAATTATAGAATGGCCCTATCCCAAATCGTTACTGAAATGGAAAAAAGCCGTAATTGCCTAACATTTTTTATTGCCTAATACGATTTGGTGATTTGTTACTCGATAAAATGCATCATAATCAATCAAAAATTGAATTTTGGATTTTTAGTTAGTTACGGCCTTTGGTATGTTTATTTATGTATGTATATAGTTTATACATCGAACTATATTTTAAATGAAAATTATTAAAAATAAATAAATAATCACTAGTGGCAAGTTTTCGTTAACTAATGTCTTAGAATAATACTCCAAATTTTGGGCTTAAACAATCTCAAATGAGGAGTTTCTCAGGAAAGCTAACATGGAGTCTCTTGACTTCTGGACCCGGCACAGAAATAGAAGTAGATAGGTCACACCTTGCGGAAAGAAGACGGCAGAATTGCAAAGAAGGACGTGGAATGGAATGGAATGGGTGAAACGTGGCGAAGAACAGTCGAGCGGGAAGCGAAGCAATATGAAATTTATGCGATATGAACCAGTACGTACACAAATGTATGTACATTAGGGTGGTCCTTATTTCGAAAAGAGCTCGGCTTCTCGATCTCACCCCAGAGAAATGTGTGAATAAACAATTGGTTATTTTTTCTGGAAGTCTCCTGAAGAGAAACAGAGTTTGCCGATTGAAAAATATTGCTTTTCAAGGATTCTATACAATTTCTAAGAAAAACAATTTGTTCGCCATATAAAACCTAACCTAAACCCTAACTTTGTATAGTTTGGTCTTTAGGCTATTCACACATTTATTGGGGGTGAGACCGAGAATCGAAACACTTTTATTTTTCTCCATATGTGTAACTAAGGGCCATCCTAATGTACATATATATGTACACATCCGCGATTTTATAGGAAAAGCAATAAAGAAAGCTCAGTACCACTACATCTGCATGGTGAAAGCAACTAACAGGAAGAGGAAACTTTGCAACAAGGCTCGACAACTCGTACATAGTTTTGAATATACAAATGGGAAGCTACATACATACATACATATGTACATACATATTTTATTGTGTAGGCAAATTTTAATAACGATCAACAGTGCAACTAAAGCAACAGAAGATGAAACGCGTTCAAGGCAAGAGGCGGGTGAGCGAGCAAGCGAACAGCAACCAACATCAATAGGAGCAATAACAGGAGCAGCAGGAGCAAGCGCGGAATGTGTTTTGTACGCTAAAGAAGAAAAAAATGCTGAATTCAAAAACAAAACCATAACGATGTAAACATGTTGCAACTAGTATGCGCACATGTGTGTGTAGGCGGTTTTCCCTTACCAGCGTGCATGTGTGGAAATGTTGGTAAGGGAAGGGGTTGTGGGCGTGGAAATTGCCATATGGCCCTTCATAGTCGTTCGGTAGGCGCGCGCGTTGGGTGCACGCTAAGTGATTTCCTGCAATTACATGCCATTAATTTGCGGTTACGCCAGAGTAATAGCAACAGCAAGTCGCTGCGTGGATATGGAAACAACGGTAGTATGTATGTATTAGGGATGTTAATTTTTCGGCTTTTTCCGATCCCGGGATTTTCGGGGTTGCGTTGATGGATTTAGATATTCATTACTTTTCAACAACTTGAATCGGAAAAATTGCTTCTATATTGTTTGAGAAGCTCTTCAACCACGAAATAAATAATAAATAAATGGTGGCGTTTTTATTTTTTTTCTCTGACCGCACGATTTATTTTGAAGGACTTTGTAATTTCAGAGATATGATTTATTCCAAAAATTGTTAAAAAAAAATTCAATGCAATGTAGAACAAGAATATGGGTAACAAATGCAAAAGGAAATTTCTTTAGAATTTAAAAAATTTAAATTTTTTGGATTTACAAGGACGAATAGGTAATTTTTAAGCTGACAAAGTTAGAAGAACGAAATTCGAGGCTGTTATCGAGTTATATAAGCCCTTAACATATAATTTTTCCAAAAACAAATATTGCGAAATTTCAAGGATACAATTTTAAAATGACATTTTCAATATTTACCAGTCCTTCTGTACCAGAAACTTGAATCTGTTCTACAGGATTTCCTCATTAATTTTATACCCATAATTCTTCTCTTAGCACACTTCAATGAAATTTTTAAATCATTTTTGAATTACTGACGTCAGAGTAAAAAACTGAAAACGCAATTTTACTATGTTTGGCCCAGGGTTTCGCGAATATATTGTATTTGTGCCATTACTTGCCACGAATCCCGGGATTTTCGA